GGCAGGCAATGAGGATACGAACTGCAACACGTAATTCAGCGTGAAACTATCCGTCAAAAGATTAAGCCTCGTCTTTGGTATATCTGCATTGAAATTTCAAAGGAATGAAAGAAACGCTTGCAGTTGAATACAAGATTCTTAATAAGGACAGTTACAGTTGGACTTTGATAATGTTGTTCATGTTTAAAAAATGCCAGGACTGGAAAAGAAGTTATTAATATTCTCTGTCAGTTACATTTTCATTGCATACGTCGAAGCTAAATCACTTATTTTTTTTTTTAATTTTGCCCCACACTCGGATTTTCTCCTGTGTAGCGAGTGCGTTTACAAACATACAATTTCACATGCACATTACACCCAGACCAGAAACAACAATTTGTGAATCACACAAAGAGTTGTTCCGTGCGGGAATTGAACCCGCGACACGTTAAGCGGCAGCCAGTTGCTCAGCCACCGCACCAACCGTGCAGTCAAAGTTCGACATACAGGAGAAAATCATAGAATGAGGCAACGCTTAAAAATATATTTAATGTTTTATAACGTTGCTTTCCTTCAACGTATGTCAACGTAATCTTAGAATTAATCACATTGGGACTTGCCAGGTTTCGAATCCTCATTTACGAAAATCGCGCTGCTTAACCTACTGGCTACCATAATAGACCATGATATAAATGTAAATTTACTACAATAAAAAATAAATTTTCTGCATAAAAACTTTACCACCTCCATTATCAACCTCTGCCTTTACCCGTTCACATAAAAACGAGGTAAATATTATCTTACAAAGAAGTTTTTACATACTCCCCATTCGATTATGTGGATACAAAAGGTATGCTTTGTACTTTGTTATTTGAATATTTTCTTTTAAAGCTCAGAAACTGGCAGTGCCTGCAAGAAAAAATACGTACACATAATGTACATACCCATACTCACACATTTGCTATATCTAGATGGTTATGTAGCGACGTTACCGATCGGTTTTCCGACCAAGTTTTGGGCGCTAATAGAGAAAATAGTTTGTTTACTCTTGGATAAAGTGATAAGGGACAAATAACCTTGTAAAAACGAAAACCACAATTTAAAATGTTAACTAATATTCAGACCATTTTAATCCTAATCCTTCTAATATTATACATGTGAAAGTTTGTGTAAATGTATGTTTGTTATTCTTTCACGAAATTTGATATATACATTATATCTACCCTGCAATACTCTGGACTAACACACTGGCTGCTTTTATCATCAAAATAGCAACCTACCACGCGGGTGAAACTGCGTGTGGAAGCTAGTTTGAAATAAAGGTCAAAGTAACTATTCAAAAACAATGCTGCATGGTGAATGTACAATGCTAGATGGAAAAGTAGCCCAAGGTATACAATACATAGCTATTATATACAGAAATACACAGTGATAAAGGTAAGACTCTTAGTCGCTGAGCAAAGTTTAAGTCATTTGAATCGTTTCGTTGTTACAACAGAAAATCGGTTCCCAAAAAAGTGCCATTAGCAACCCCTACAGAGAAAATTGTTCAATCAGAACAGTTTTTGGCTGTATTGCTACGCAAAATGGATGTAAAGAGAGAGAGCTTATTTCTTCATTGCTTTGATTGTTAATAGTAAAACTACAATAAGGTTTATACTTATAAACTTTAACAATAAATTTAATGAATGCTGAATAAAAAATATTATCCTAATTTAAGATCTATAAAGGTTCTCAATAATTTTACGTAACAATCAGTAACAGGGTGATAAACGAAAGTTTTGTGGCGACCCTTTTCTACAAATCTTCAAATTGTCTTTTCTCAGTCTTTCAAATATTTCTCAAATCAATTCCTCATAAAACTTTCAATTTGAGAACAATTTTATTTAAGTCCTTTGAATTCGGAAAGTAGGAAATTTGGTTAGAAATATAATTCCTAAAATTTTGTTCCCTAAAATAGTGAATAATTTTTCTCGACCCATAAAAATTCTCACTACAGTTTTATTCTTTAGGTATAGTAAACGAAACTATAGACAACAATACATCATCATGCTACAAATATAAGGAAGAAGACACAAGAGAAACAGTAAAGATGATAAAATAACCAAGAACCACAATAAAAACTACATCAAAGGAACACAAAATGTACGACAGCAAATATAAAGACAAAAATACAAAATAGGTCACACGTGACTACAAACATATTCTTGAGATATTTTCACACTGATTGATATAAAAAACAGGTTGTTATAAACCGGTGAAGGTGAGATCATATTTAAAAGTTAGAGTCGAAAAATGCTAATGTTCGACCGGAGTGATACCACGGCCTCACAGACAACCACAGCGTTGTGTTTCGCCGTGTGAGTGAGGTTACAGGAGGCCCAATCCTTCCCCTCCCCTGATCCCTCCCCAATCCCTTAATATCCAAAACCCTAATCCCTAAGAGGTCGGCAACGCACTTTGCGAGTATCCATGGGCGGCGCAGATTACTTACCATCAGGTTATCCGTCTTCTTGTTTGGCGATAAACATAAAAAAGTGTCTCGTACAGTGTAGGTAAACACATGATCCGAAGATTTTACCAACTGACAGAGGATTGTACAAAGCAAGAATTTCTAATGTAAGTCCTATTTTAAATGCTGTCCCAAAGTATTTCAACTGTCTACGTTGTAATTATTATTTCGTAGGTTTAGCTTCAGGCTTTACTTTCAAAATTTTAGTGTCTAAAAATGAGAAAATAATTTTTAATTTGGATGTTTTTGTTAAATCCGATTAGCTGTATTCTACTATAAGAGTAACATGTCCACGAGCCTCTGTAAGCAAATATGTATTTACTAGTATTTGGGATTTTAGAATAATAAATTTGAAGACACTAAGTCCATTCTCATCTGCAGTTGTAAAGTCCAAAGTCCAAATCATCAAAGAGATCGTAAAAACTTCGACATGCAATCTGTAACTGACATTCTGAGCGACGTCGACAAAAGACATCTATATCAAATGCATCGTTGATCTAAAGTGACTGAGACGGAGTAAGAACCAATCGACATTTGACAAACTCGTTTGACCAATTCCTTCAACACTGAATACTCTCAATAGATTTGTCGTTTGAAATCGTTTTTAGATAAAACGTCGCTTCACTTTAGGATTTTTTTTCGTGAAAGCGTTACCAAACATACCATTTTCACATACAATTTACTCCCAGACACGGCAAAATAATTAACATAAAGAGCTATGTGGTGTAATGTGGGAATCAAACCCACGATACGTTGCACGGCAGCCGGGGGGGCCCAGCCACCGTATCAACCGTGCAGTTAAATTCTAATCCGGAGCAAGGATTCAAGAAATAAACGTAGCACACTCATCTATAACAGTCAAGTCATGTTTTAAACGATGACATAAAATATAGGCTTCAAAAGCCATCAAAACAAATCATTTGAACCCAATCCTCCAATTTCTATTACTTAAGCCGCAATAAAACAACCTTAGTCAGAGAAAATAGCAATATCAACTGCAAAAAACTCAATCGTCTATAACGAAATATAATTTTATTATATATTTTATGGCGAACTGAAATTCATGTGGCACCCTAAAAATTTTACGTCTCACCGTCTGTATCGGGGGTGTATCACATAAAACAGATCATGCGTGAGGGTAGATCTAAAATTGTAGACTATCTTTTTATTGTACATGTCTTATTTCGGATCGAGAATGTGACTTGAAGTTATAGTTCCAAGTTTAGTGGAGAATTTAGGATGTTTTTCGCTATTTACTTATCTTTACGCTCTAGTTGTGTTTTGGGGCGTAGACATAACATTATGTGGTGTGTTTTTTAAACCCCACTGTACTATTTGGTTCGTAAATCGAATGGACGTTTAAATCCATCTAATTTTATGACAATCTAAGATGACATTTATTCACTACATATTTTATTGCAAATAACAACTTATTTACCTAAATACCTTTTTCGTCATGAACAACGCGTTCTTTTGTGACATAAAAGGAACCGAGTTTTTCTCCGTTAACTCACGAGTCATTATTTTCAATTAGTTGATTGCGTCTCCAAATTAATTTCACTGTTAAAAAATTACATATTTCATGCCAATGTATAATATCATATTTCAGCTTAAAAACTCCAATAATTCAAGACAAAACAAAATAAAAGCTACAACTTAATCAAAACACCTAGTTCTTATAACAAAACACCTAAATGTAGCAAGTAATACACTTATCTCAAAATGTCGACACTCTTCTTTAATTCCAGAGACTTAACAACGACAAATGTTTGTACAACGTACAACTAGTCACAATTTCATTTAATCCTTTTGTTTAGTAGTTAGCTGGCTGGAACTGTCTGGAAACTAGCGACTGCCTTCTGGGTTGGAATTCCAGGGGATTCCAACTTGATACTTTGTGTTGAAAACGGGTTACGTATTATGCAAGACAGTTGCATTATTTGCGTTAGTGAATTTTGTAGCTGGCTACGTGTTTTAGGGTTACAGCGTGCATAAGAGTTTTAATTTGCGTACATTTTTTAATTGCGAATAGAGAGGCAAATTATGTTTTAAGTATATTATATTACTTCATGTTATGATTCGATAACCCTATTGTAAAACTTTATGTGAAGCAGTAAAACTACTTTAAAGATAGTGAATATTTTTGTACTTACAGAATAAGGGCAACTGTAATAGTTTACGGTGAGTACTGGTTCACTCTAGAGCTGCATCTCTGTTCACAAACTTTAGTGTTTGGACCGTGGTTTGGACGAACGGTATAACTTTGCAGTCTTGTTAATGAAAAATCTAATTTACGAAGACATTGATAGATAGTGGGTAGAACATAATCTTTGATAGTGTTTTCTCAATCAATCTTATTCTTGTTATTGTTATTCTTGATCTATTGTTGTAGCTTGTGAACACCATTACAGCTATTTAGTCAAAGCATTAAGTTGAATACAAAAATTGATCTGTTTACAGTACACTGCACCCCTAAAAGTGTCAGAAGAAAATGTGATCTACTACTCACCAAATAATAAACTCCAAAGGGCATCACGACGACCGCTACCAGTAGGTCCGCCACCGCCAAGCTCACTATAAAATAATTCGTCACAGTCTGCAGCGTCCGCTCACGCACTACACTCATAATCACTAACACATTCCCGAATAACGTGAAAAAAGGAAATATTAATAGCAACAGCGCCCACAGATTCTGCTCCGAATCATCCACTTGTCTATTAAAACATGATATATTGAATGTACCGTTAAAACTACAGTTTGTATAGCCAAACACGTCTGCCAAGTCTTCGCTAGTGTTGGTACTAAAGTCATGCGACGTGTTTCCATAGAAGTAATCACTAAAATCTTCCACTAGCCTCATAAAATCACCGCTAGTGTTAGCATCTCTGACTTCCACTTTCACTGTGGCATTCCTAACATCAGGTGGCCTTTTCGAAGGGTAAAGGTATGTTGTGTAGTGTGAGTTGTTGTGGTACGGCAGTAGTGTTGTGCTCATTGTGGCTTCAGTGCCCGGGTTCGAGCCGTGAGCCTTCAGCGTCATTCTGCCGCGCTCCCCTCGCGTCCATTTGTGCTAGTTGACGCGTCGCATCTGCAACCAAGAAAAAAAAACTTGATTAATGTTTTACTAAATCGAGTTATTATTCAGAGCCGGGGAAGATTAAAGATTTTATTCTGTAACGGGTAAGACGATTTATTATCTCTGAGCCAGCTTGCCTTCTACTATTCTTACAATTTTCTCTTGTAAGACGTCGGGAATTAGAAACGTTTATGTTAAGATATTAATATAAAATTTAATTGGATACAAAAATTGACATCATCATATATTTAGATCTACACGTCCATCAGAATCTTTAACAATTCAAAGACAATGAACGAAATAATAAAATCAAATTTGATAATCTAAATGAACAAATCCCATTTGTAGCCACAGATCACAGGACAAAACTCATCAATCACTCCTCAAGGACGTCAATTGAGGCACTCATCTGCAATCTTTTTTATAATTCTCCAAGTCAATTTAAAATGATTGATTCGAGAAAAATCAGGAGTGGTTATCGGGATGATAGATTATCGCTAAGTTACAGCTAGGCGCTGCTTTAATTGCTGGTTCCTTAAGTGTTCTGCGATCGAAGGACTAGATGGGAAAGTAATTTGATGAAACACAAGTGACTAAAACATTAAGTAAAGTCTTGGAAGTTTGTTCGCTGTGATCGCTCAGAGACTTAATTGTATTGTAACTTTATTTCAATTTTAATAAAATGCTAAAGTATGTTGATATTTTTATAAGGCTCAATCTTAATGTGTATAACTCATGTTGGAAGATTAAACTTAGAGGTAATAAAGGGTTATTATTAAAACTCCAAGGCTTAAAAGATTGAAAAGTTAATGTTTCAATCAACACGAACGTTCAGCAAATATCACGGCAAATTCATATGGCACGATCCCACCATAATGACTGACACTACCATTTCTGCTCACCCATTTTAGACGCCATTAAGCTCTAATTAAGTTCATTCACATGAAAAGCAGTATGAGTGACACAGTGACAGCTTTCTTATTAGCATTTCACGTGATAACGCATTTCTAGAATGTTCTTGTGATCAAAATCTAAATTGTTGTGTCGTCAGCAGAAAAATACGTTTGTTATCTAAGTTCGTGTTTTAACAGGCTGAAGACCAAGTCTTGTTTTTGCCAGATGCCCTGTTATTTGCCCTTCTCTATTTTCAAACAAAGCTTACGTTGACTTTTCATTTAAGTACTACAGATAATTCCTTTAAAAATAATTCAATTTTTATTTTGCATCGAATACATTTTGGCGTAAAACATTTCGTCGCATTCCTCCGTAAATTGTCCGATTTTCTGATGATTTCCAAAAAAATTACCTCATCAATTATACACGTTGATCCAGCGGAAATTCCCTGTGCTTTGTGTGTGCACAACAATAAGCAATAAATTGTCCGGAGAGGCCGGGATCCGTCAAATCCCGGGACGAAACATTACCATAATTCTCTTCATCATGAAACTGGCGAACTCAATTTTCGACACTATTGATTTACTCGCGGTCATTTCGCTGATAATAGGAATTAATGAGACATAAATGAGAATCAATCTTTGTGGAACATTATGAAAACGTTTAACTACATTCAAGCAAGAGAAATTCTGATTTTTCTTCCAATAAAATATCTTCTGAGCGAAGTATTTGTAGTATAATCTTAGTTTTAACGATCTCAATTGATGATTTTGTGTTCATCAGCGACTATCACAATACTGGCTGGCTAGACAAAAATACCTGTTTCAAATCGAGAATAACAGCTTCAGAATCAGTTTTTAGCAACCTAAAAAGGAATACCAAATTGATTACTCACAAATCCTATCCTAACACTAATTGTATGCAAATTGCATTGCAACACTAAACAAGAGTTTCTGAAAGACTTAAGATCGTTATGTGGATAGCCACCAGGTTCTGAACACCGGTGATAGATGATAGATCACGCCATTAAGCTAGGGAGCTCGGCAGAACTCATTTATCTTAGCCAATTTATACTGACACAAGAAGGCATAGTTTTAGTTCCGTAATTAGTTTGGACGTTATAAATGGGCTTAAAAGGAGGTTTAAAAGTTTTAAATTAGGTTCTGAAGTTTGATTGTTTGAGTGTAGAGGTAAAAGTAACTGTTAAATTAATGGGAGACAAAAGAAACTGTCGCAGGTGGTGGGAAATTAATGGTACCGTGATTTCTGGTTGAAGACGGTTTTATACGTTTGTCGGTTGCTTAGAGTTGTATCCTTAGGTAGGGCGAAATTTAGCGATTGTTTTTTAATGTTATGCGATAGCAAACGATGGTAGGCAATCGTCGCGTTCTATGAAGTTACAAGTGCGTTGACAGCTTTAAGGGGATAAGGAAAAAAACAACACTATGTATTCTGTGAGGCCTGCGATCCCACACATAAATTTGGTTAAAAAATGATTCGATACATTTTTTTCTTTTAAAGGTTGCTCCACGCTAGAATATCTATATACCCTAGGTGTGCTAAAAACGTAAAAAATCATATGGACCACACTCTCCGTTTCGAAACAACAAGTACTTATTTGATCACACAAAAACACTGTGTTCTAACAATTGCTGAAATTATTTCGTTAATTGATGAATCAAACTCTAAGAAATACGACAAAAATGAAAAACCACATCGTTTTGTGATTACCAACCTATAAAAATTTACCTATGTGACTATAATTAACCGTACCTGCATAATTACCAAGATAGTTAAAAAATATCTAAATAAGCCGGTGAATTGTGAAATATATAATTAAGTAGGTATTTATATTCCAACTAGGCTGCACCCTCCTTATCGCCAGAACCCGGCAGCATTAGGATTGTCGTTAATAAATGAGAGCGTTAACAAAGGGTTACACCTGTGTTGAACGCCATTACACACATATGCGGATGATACATTGTTGTCAATGTACAATCCTGTAATTTTTTTCAGTGCGTGTAAAATTAGGGTAATTGTCTAATAGTAATAAGGGTCAATTTTCTACTGTAACTAATCTTTTGAATAGATGTTTTGTCAAAAAAGCTGCAAAAAATAAAATTAATTTGATTTTTTTTTCTGTGACATGCTCAAGTCGATAAATTAAACCAAGGTTACTATAGTGACCGAGATTGCGGGTTCAAGCATTATAATCTAGAGAGGCGGCCCGCGTGAGGGAGCAATCCTCCTCCTCACGCCCCAGCAGCCGCAACTGGCGACACTACGGGCGTCGAGGGACGATCTCCGGCCACCGTAAGTACGGGCCTGCGGTCGGCGAGTAAGGGCAGCTCGCCGCCCGACCAGAACCAGGCCCGAGCGTACGGCGCGTAGCGTTCCGCGCGCGCCTCAAAGAGCCAATAGACCACCACAGACGGGGCCCTAAAGGGCTGATGTTCAGCCGGGGTTGCGGGGTAAGCGCAATAAGGTACCGCGACCTCGGCACAGAGCAGGAGAAGGAACAGGGGGGTTTTTAGTCAGTAAGAGTCTGACACTCCCTCCTGCCCGGCCCTGGGCGGGAGAAGTCATTTGATGATTTTCCCCTCACAAAAAAAAAAAAAAAAAAAGCATTATAATCTATAGTGGCGAGTTGAAAGTAAGAGTCTGGCTCTCCTTCTTACCACACTCAGTTCGGGAAAAGTCATTGGATGATTCACAACCTCGCAAAAAAAGCTAACTGATAAGTACTTAACTTGCATAATCATCATAAGGCCATCTTCATTTTTTTTATCAAGGCTACAGTAGTAGTCTTTTTCAAAATCCACTACTACATACAGACCAAAAAATTTTGTCATCACACAATTTTTCAAACCCTTTTTACACACAAGTAAGAAACGAAATTCTAACATCCTTAAAAGGTATTTAAACACCACACAAATATTCATGACACTACTGAAGCAGTATATCATAGAAAAAATATATACATTTCAAGTGGCCCACTTCACAGATCCGAGACATAACTCATACTTTATTCGCCAAGGAGCGTTCGCGTTAGTAATGAAACAGCAAGTCCTTACTTTTGTCACAATTTGTCGTACAATTTCAAAAGGCAACCCTTTATTTGATACTGAGACGTCTGCGTTACTATTTTTATTTATAATAATAAATATTTCTAAGCCAAGTCTATTTTTCATAATGTCACTGTAAGTCTGTGAGGTACATTGCTGAAATATTTTAGTGTTATATAAGGTATAAATGTGAGGAGTAATCTTTTACCAATGGCTGGAGCTGAATGGAGACCTCTTTGGAAACCGGTATAAAACAACGCGTGTGGGACCTGAAGCCCAATTCCCTCCTATCTCCTGACCCTATCACATCCTTAAATCTACAAATAACCAAATCCCCAATTTTCCAACAATTAAGAGAAAGTCTCTGGTTTGCTTAGTTAAGTTAGTCTAGAACTTGTTAGATTAGGAAAAAAAACTATCTATTCATTGCCTTCAACGGGAAAACAAGCCTATATTTCTAGGCTTGGCAAATAGGACTATCTTGTTTGATGGGGCTTAAGTCTAGGGGCTTTTTATAGTTGTATTTTATGTAGCATTTAAATTATGTTATGAATCAGATTGAAAATGAGTAACCACAGAAAGGTACAAGCTCGATACTCCCATTTTCTATCAATATAATAATATTTTTATATTGTAACTGACTGTCAATGACAACTATTTTAAATTTTTAATGGACGGTCTTTGGCCACTTGATTTCCAACAGAAAACACACCACTTTCATTCAACCATATAACATTCTTGACATGAATGAATAGTATCCATCGTAAGACATAGCTACTAAACTTATTGAAAATAACTACAAGATTTACTGAATAAAGCTCGACTATTTTCAAATCAGAACGGGACTCTTATTCTTGAGCAGCGTGTACGCCGCGACAACGCCGTGCAGCCAACACGCAGCTCATGAGTAAATTGGATACTTCTCAATTGATTCACACTGAAGTCCACGCGGACGAAGTGGCGGGCAATAGCTAGTTTTCAATAAATGAAACTTAACGATCGTAA